CCCGGCTGTTGAGACTGTACAGTCTTGGTGGCCAAGAGGCGATTCCTCTTGGCCATTGAGACTGTACAGTCTCAACAGCCAAGAGGAATCCCTCCCGGCCACCGAGACTGGTCCTGATGGCCATGAGGGATTCCTCCTGGCCATTGAGACTGTACCCCTCCCGGCTGGGAGGGAAAAAATGTTGGGTGAAGGGAGAACTTCATTCTCCCTTCACCTCCCAGTTATGTAGTCAGGAGGGGCCGGTTTGTCTGCCCGCCCCTTGGAAGCGTGTTTCCTTGGAAAAACACGCTTCTGAGTAAAGATGGCCCCGTGGGACCCGGGTACCCGTTGATACCCGGGTACCGCCTACTTTTTTTGCCCCAAATAGACACCAGGTACCGCACCCTCGGCCTGTTGGCGGGTACCAGCGGTCCCGGCGGCGGGTACCGCGGGTACCTGGCGCCAAAAATGCAGTATATTACTCTAAAATTCAATTTAACGGTTTTTTTAGTTTTTTTTTTATCAATTTATACTAAATAAGAGTTTATCCTGTCTCAATTTCAAACACACCCTCTCTCAGAAGGGTACTTTGCACCAAAGATGCAGTTTAACACACCAAAAATGCTGTTGAGCATTGTTTTTCTTTCATTTTATACTAAATAAGTAAGAAAGATTCACTTTTTTTTTATTTCAATAAATAAAAAATTATCACATTTTTTCTTTTCAATAAATAAAAAAGTACCACATTTTTTTTCTTTTCAATTCATAAAAAAAGCTGTTTGTTTTTTTTTCTTTGCAATTTATAAATTTTATACTAAATAAAAATCTTTGAAGTCCCAAGCACTCCCACAAAATCAATCTTCATCAACTACTATAACTTTTCTCTTACCCTTCTTCTGCATCTTATTATCTTCATTGATTCCATGTTTCCACCGAGCCAAAATACCCTCTGGAATCATCTTGTTCTTGGAATAGAAAGCAACAGTCATCCCCCTGCTTAAAGATTTAGCAGCAAGCCTGTGCCTCTTCAATGTCACATAGTCGCGTCCAAAACTGAATGCTTGCTCGACATCAACGGATGTTGCTAGAAATATGAGATGTGATTTGATTCAGATTAGGCATGCAAATATATCAAATTTGTAATTTGGCCCACTCACCTGGACAAAGTGCCATGTGCAACAGGCCCCCATGTGTGTTTCCGGAGCGCTTCTGCTGTATCCACCACTGCAAAGGATTCACCGGATTTCCATCTTCAAGGATAAGTCCACCGGCAAGCCACACATCGAGTGGGTCAGATGAGCTTAGGCTCCCCCGCGCAGCCGCTGCGTTTCCCAGACCAGCAAGCATTGACGTCCTTGACTGTGACATTGATGATCCCCTTGGTCAGATTATGCTCACACTGACACTATTTTAATACAACCAGAGAACTTACTTTGGAGCCTGGTTTGGGTGCAGCAGTGGGAGTGTTTGCACTTTGCGGCTTGTAATGAGTAATCCACATCTCCCGCGCGAGTCGTATGGCCTTGGCGATCCATTCCGGCTCCCAGTTGGCCAATTTGAAGTACTCATCCCTAAAGGATGGGTGAAGCACTGAGGATAATAAAATCAACTGTGAGCAAGAGAAGTAACATTATACTTATATTGTAAATGACCTACATATTGCAATTCGGTAAAGAGCGGAGGCATTGGTCAGGCTATAATACTTGTTGGTAATCTTCAATCCAGATCGGCAGGCATTCCTCAATGCTGGAGGATAATTGGGGTTGATAATTGCAGTTGAAAGATGATCAGTGATTTGATCGATGAAGACAACAACATTTGATATTTGAGTTGACCCGGCTGTAGAGATGTGCAACGTTATTTCATGGAATAAGTCAAGTACTTCAACCAGATCGCGCGCCAAGTCAAAGTCGTTCTGGTCCACAAAGTACTTGCGTTTCATACCATGCCTTTTATGACGCTGCCACTCCAGACTTCAAATTGAAATTAAATCGTTTGATTAGATTATTATTTCTGATTGATTACAAATGAAACTTCAAAGGAATCAACTCCAATTGCAGCCTCACATCTGATGACACTTCTCAGTTGAGCAGCCGTTGAATTCCATCGAGTACGTACGTCTCGTTCAACCATGTGTGGGGTAGCACACTCTTTGTCTCGACAGGTTTCGACAAACTCGGCTTTTGAATTCGGAGATACCTCACTTCTTTGCAATTGCCCGAAACTTTGGCAAAGCAAACATTAGTAATGGGACCATCTTTGGTACAGACATGAGATATGCTACTTTGCTAAGTTCTGCAGAGTGCTCGTGTATCAATCCTTGTCGCTTCAACACTAGCGTTATCAATGTCTGTGTCGCTGAGAGTATCGTGGTCTTCTTGAGCTAGTTCTACCTTGGATTCTCCATCACTGGAGTATTCATATTCCTCTGGAGAAGTCTTATCCCCACGGGCAAGCCTATCAGATTCAGTAGGGAAATGCATCAGCTAAATATGAAAACTTGTAAAGGATGGAATGAATGACCTAAAATCTGATTTGTCCATCAGTGTGGTCATCCTCAGAACAATCCTCGCCGGAATCAAGACCGTCGTCAGTTCCTTGGCCTTGTGGGGTGGGTTTCTTCTTATGTGTTCCAAATGGGCGGAGGATTGACTGGACAATCAGGTTGAGGATGTGTGCGAAACATTGGATCCAGTGTGTGTCGCCCTTGAAACGTGGCCACTTCAGGTTTTTGAGGTCCCGTACCAATACCGCATTGTTCACTGCATTATCGCTCACAAGCCCACATATCTAAAATATATAAATATCAATTTGTCAGCCTGGGAACAGGAGCATAAAACTTAGGAAACAGGGGCTTACTTTGTCTGCAATTCCAAATTTCTCAACCACCTGCCCAACAATCTTGGCCAGGTACTCGCCTGTGTGACACTGAGTAAGTGAGATGAAGTCCAATGGCATTGCCTCGAGCTTGAAGTTGCTGGGGTTGTCGTCAGCTAGTCGGTAGATGACCATGCCCAAGATATCGAAGCCGTTCGGGGATTGCCACGCATCAACACCTAAGTATAAAGCACCTTGGTATTGCTAACAGTAAAAGGAGAGAGAGACATCAGAAATGGAAGATGATAAAACTGCCTATCAGAAAAAAAAGGAACTGACCTTTAAAACAGTCCTATAGTTGTCTTGTATGGCAGAGTAGAGCATGTGAATGTCCTTCAAGACTGCTTTTCTAGTGGGTAGATGCTTGAGAACTGTCGGATGAAGGAGTGCCTTGTGGCTTGCATCTACGAGGGCGGAGAATGGACGTGCGGCTTCTGCGCACCATACAGCACACAGCTGTGGTACCTAATGGAAATAGATAAAGGGTCCTGGGTCAGTGAGGGCATTCCTGGGGCTGAAAGATGTAATATGTACAATATGGGACACTTACCTCTTTGGGATCAATGTCACCAGTCCCAGTAATCCCAACACTGGCCAGAGTGCGTGTCTTGGATGCCTCTTGTTGTTTGCGGAGGCAGAGGGCAGCGTGCTTGTTCAGGTTACCACAGGAGGAGTCAGACATAGGCCGGTTGATCTTTGGTAGAACACCTATGTGCATGCAAAAGAAGAAAGATATCATGATGTCAGCAAAAAGGGAATGATTTCATATGATTGGGAAAAGAAAACTTACATCATTACTAAGAGAGAGTGGCGCCGCTTTGGCTCCCGGGATATCCCGCTGGATCTCCGGGTATTGCCCGCTCTCAAATTCGGAGAAGAAAGTGCCGTATTTTCGGCTGTAACATACA